GCATGAAGAAGTTCCAGCAGTGCAGACAGCAAATAGAGTTTTGGTTTTCAGATGGGCCTCTAGCACGTGGCTTGAGCGACTCTGCCCAGATGACAGTTATGAGTCAGTGGCACCTGTCTGCAAGGGCTTGTGTTCCACGTTCCACTGATGGAACCTACCATAATCTGAAACTCAGTATTTTCAGTCGATTTCGAACATTTCGTCACCTGCTTGAGGCCTTAGCGTCGAAGCCCCCTCAAACGAAGAATCGAAGAAACGGTCATGGCCAACAGCTGTGGGCACAGAAGTTTAGTTGTTGCCGCGCGCATGATCTGCAGCTGCTTTCGCCCTCGATACTGTTGTCGCCCTGCAGAACAGTCAGTATCTTGAGCAGGTCTTGAGATGCGATAGGATGCGTGGGAACAGGTTTTACCGAGTTCTGTCTTACTGTCAGTTGGGCTTGAGTACCGAGGCAGATAGCTGGTTCCGTCCATATACAGATTTCTTCATGAGACTTGCCTGCCGGAAATGAGTTGTCTAGCTAGGCTAGAACCTGCAGCAAGACCACTCGAGCAGATGGCAAACGCAAGCGACAGAGAACCGCTGACTGGCGGCGCCTCCGCCGCAGGCGCCCATGAGGCGCAATGATGTGTAAGGCTCCGGGGTGGCGGTGACCGGATCGATTTTCGAAGCACCACGCCCAAGAAGCCAAAGTCAGAGCTCCCCACAGTCCCGCGCCCATCCCGTTGTCTCTTGCGGCAAAATGCGCTGCAACGTTGGGCAAGGCCGCCAAGCCCTGGTTCTACTTCTTTCTTGGGAGTTGCACTTGCAACGTGTGCCTGTGGCGCAAAACTAGGCTTCCGGAATCTTGAGAAAAGTGGGTCCGTCGATTCCTACAGGCCGTGCAGCAGCAGTGATCCCAAAAGATAAGACGAACACCAAGAGCCAGTGTTTCACCTGTTTTCGGCTTTGAACTCAGGTTACTGTTGATGGCGGTCGGCTACCTCCTGTGGTATGCTATGTTCAGACCGCCGAGCACCAGCGTCTGCATGCAGGACCGCGAGGTATCCGGTTGCTTGCCTTACAGCCGTAGGCTTCGGATCATAACTGCAAGAGGGCTTTGTGCAGTAGTACCCCTGGCAGGAACCTCTCAACATACAAGATCCCTCCCGATTCTCCTCGCGCCCCCCTGCGAAGGGGATTCTTAGGCCCAGTGGCCACTAGGAGGGTCGGGTTTCGAAGCAGACGAAGGGTGGAGGTGCCGGGCGAGTACTCAGCTCTTGTCTTGACCCTGAGAGTCCTGGAGTCCATGTAGGATTACTACGAGAATCTCGAGAGTGTCCGGGCAAACGTCTCGGCCGTCGTCGCAGAAAAGTCTTTGGCGAATGCGTCCCAGGCTTTTCGGTGCCTGCCGGGTTCTTGGGGGTCTGCTACTCTAAGGCCTCAGGCCACAGCTGCACTTTGCTGCATGTTGGCCAGAGTGTGCATGGCTAAGGTCATTAGGAGCTGTTGGAAGGGCGCTACAATGTCGGGGCTTGGGGCTGTTCAGGCGAAGACTGACTGCTTCTTGGCGAAGTACAAGACCATCACTTTCGAGCTTGCGACGCTGTGAAGACAAGGTGATTGTTTGATGCTGTCAGGTTCGAGGGTTCAAAGGTGAAGCCAGGAGCCAGGACCTTGCTTTCACTTCTAGGATCCTCCGCCTGCAAGCTGCCCAAGATCCGCCGAGGAACTATTCTGACGATCCAGTCGCTTACCAGTGGAAGATGCAGATTGGGAGTAAGGTGGCCGGGGCTTTGGCAGGGCAATCTGGCATTTTAGGGTTGGTACATCCCGCGCGTGGGACGGAGGATGTGGTGTTGTGCTTTTTCCGCAGGAGCAGATGTCGGAAGTCTTCGCCGAGCGCCGGCACATGATGCACTTTGGCACGAGTCATCGGCTTTCAACAAGGTAGTAGGACCTTGAAGACCGCACACTAAGCCCTAAAACCTAGAATCTGAAAGTCGGCTGCAGACATAAACAAACCGATCCCAAGCCCCAAATAGCAAACACTGCAAGCCCCAAATCAACAAATCCCGATAGTGCTCCAAGACAAGTGGTGACCCAATGCTTCAATGTTATAAGTGCTTCTTTGAGACGTCCTTCCGATTCAGAAGCGTCCTGGTGTCGTCCGAGGGCGCGAGTCCAAACCCTAAACCCCAAGCCCCAAATCCAACATCCGAAAAGTTACACTCCTAAACCCTAAGATCAGGCATGTCCGAGTGTGAGTGCTGAAACCCTAAGATCCGAAAAGCCTTTGTGCCAAACGAGCAGCACTCATTCGACCAACGTCGCGTTGGTTTCAGTCTGGGCTGCAGCGGGGCGAGCGACGAGGGACTTGAGAGCGTTTAGGGATCAAGGTTTGAATTAAGGGGCTTAGTCTTG